TGTATGGTTTGGATGCAGCAGCCCTTCCATGGAAACCGATTCCATGAAGCTCTCTACACACTGTTGTGCTAATCTTACGTTCACACGAAGTTTGGAGGTCTTTTAGCTATTGACTTTTCAGACAGTTGGAAAATTCTGCACATTGTGCGCTTCAGTATGCGCTGACCCCGCTCTGTCATTTTACGTGGCCTACCATTTTGTAGCTGAGTTGCTGTTGTTCCCAGGTGGTTCCACTTTGTTATAATATCACTAACAGTTGACCGTCGACTATTTAGTAGCAAAGAAATTTCACGGATGGACTTTTTGCACAGGTGGCAACCTTTCACGGGACCACGCTTGAATTCACTGAGCTCCCAAGAGCGACCCATTCTTTCACAAATGTTTGTAGAAGCAGTCTGCACACCTAGGTGCTTGATTTTATACACTTGTGGCCATGGAAGCTATTGGAACACCTGAATCCAATGATTTGGAGGGCTGGCCCAATGCTTTTGGCAATATAGTGTGTTGGGATGGGTTTTCATGGCCGAGCAGCTGCATCCAAGCCTTACATCACCAGGTGCAATGCAAAGCGTCAGATTCAGTGATGTAAAGCAAGCCGCTGTTAGATTCTAGAGCAGTGAAGACGTGTTCTCGAGTGACGAATCACACTTCTCTGTCTGGCAATCTGATGGATGTGTCTGGTGGTTCCCAGGAAAACGGTTCTTGCCTGACTGCATTGTGCCAAGTGCAAAGATTGGTGGAGGGGGGATTATGGTGTGGGGTTGTTTTTCAGGGGTTTTGCTTGGCCCCTTCGTTCCAGTGAAGGGAACTCTAAAGGCGTCAGCATACCAAGACATTTGGACAATTTCATGCTCCCAAGCTTGTGGGGACAGTTTGGGGATGGCCCCTTCCTGTCCAACATGCCTGCGCACCAGAGCACAAAGAAAGGTTCATAAAGATATGGATGATCAACGTTGGCATAGAGGAACTTGACTGGCCTGCACAGAGCCCTGACCTCAACCCGATAGAACACCTTTGGGATGAATTAGAGCGGAGATTGTGAGCCAGGCCTTCCTGTCAGACATAAGTGCCTGACCACACAAATGCACTTCTGCAAGAATGGTCAAACAGTCCCATAGACACACCTAAACCTTGTGGACAGCCTTTCCAGAAGAGTTGAAGCTGTTATAGCTGGAAAGAGTGGGCCAACTCAATATTGAACCCTACATACTAAGACTGGGATGACATTAAAGTTCATGTGCGTGTAAAGGCAGGTGTCCCAATACTTTTGATAATATAGTGTATATAAATCTGTGGTGTGCTGTCAGTAAATTTTTTTCACCCAGCTGGAGGGTCAGGTCATTCGGGTTTAGTCGACCAATGCCACAGCAGTGGCGCACATTGAATATCGAAGAGGTGTGGACAATTGGCAGGTAAACTTCCTTAGCCAGCAGCATTTGGAGACACATGAGCATTGTAGGCAGCTTGATGTGTACCTCCCAGGTTCAACAAAGTGACAGTGGTTGCTGTGGTGGGATCATTACAGCCTAATCAACACCTTTCCATCAAGAAAATCCTTCACCTGCTATACATGGTACAATGCTACTATGATTGAGATAGAGGGAATTGCTGTGTTTTGTTTTTTTTCTTTTGTTTGTTTTTTTAATAGCTCCAGGTTTGCCTGGGCCAGATGTGGTACTGTAGCCTGATTAGACTTCTTTTGGAAGCCCCTTTTTGCGCTCTTTCAGATCATCTGGATCCTCTGTCTGAAGAACTGGTTCATCAGCACGAGTACCCCCTTAGCAAGTGGATTGTTAGGGGGTTACTCAGAAGGTGGGGGGGGGGGGGGAAGGAGCCCTGACGGGCTCCCAGAAGACGAAGATTGGTGTTGCTCTGTGCAAAACCATTGCACAAAGCAGGTAAGCATAACATGTTGTGGGTTTAAAGAGATAAACCTTTAAACAAACAATTGTACCCTTGGTGACTTCTGGCTTTGTTCTAACTTTCCTGAACTCCTTCCTGCTCATTATAACAGACAGACCTGACTATTTTCACAGAGGAGTTAAAAAAAAAAAGTCAATTTTTTTTTTTTTTTTGACAGCAGTCTTTACATAGGGCTCATTCAGACTGTGTTGCATTAGCGTGCAACTGTTAAGGCAGCACATTCATTTTTCTAAATTCTTTATTCAAGGAGAAAGAACAGTCCAAAATGTAGACATGCATAAATTATTACACAAAGTAAGGTATAATGATACAATATAGTCTTATTTCCTCTCAAGATACCTTTCTTTTATTTATTTCAAAGGTCCGGTAAGTACCTTTAGAAGAAAGTGTAAAGCTGAGATGGTGATAGACAGAGTTGGGGGAAGAGAGAGAAATGAAGGGTGCTGGGAAGAGGGCCAGCAGAAGAAAGAACAGGGGGGAACGAGTCTTGTCTATATGTCTATATATATATATATATATATATATATATATATATATATATATATATATATATATATATATATATATATATATATCCTTTTAGAGGCACATCAGTAAGGGTCTCTGAAGTTCTACACAGTCTCAGAATTCCCTCAACTTGAGCCATTCTCAAAAGGAATGTAGAAGGACACTCTCTGCCTCTAGGCATCTCCAACAATGATCAGACATTTGGGTCATCCGATGGAGGACACAGGGTGTACTGGATCATCTGCTTGGTCAATTGTAGCCACTGTTATGATACTTACAGGGCAAGGATTTTTTTGCGCAAAAAGATGGTAAAGCGGCGGCGTCTCTCTTCTCACGACACGAACAGGAAGGCAAACAGGAAAATGTGGGGGGAGGACCGCAATGCGTTTCAGAGATCTTGCGTTCTTTCAACCTGAAAAAAGAGGCAAGACCTCGTAAACTTGTTGCGGTCCGCCTCCCCCAAAGCCTGTCAAGTTTTCTTGTCTGCCTTCCTGTTCATGCCGTGAGTGAGAGGAAAGACGCCACCAATTTGCCATCTTGCAGTGGGTCCCTGCTTCTGCCCTGCAGCCCTATCAGTCCATCCAGATTGCTGTGAGTTGTATATTGAACCACCACTCTGACATTTGGAGCAGTCTACAGGTCTTTCAGATGCAAGTGAGAAATGGAGATCAAGTGTTTTTAACCATACACTAATCTGATGCCGTGCTCGGTTTCCTTTGTATATGTGTAAAAGGGCCCTTACAGTTATGCAGAGAAGTGATAGCATTATTCATTAAATGACAGTAGAAAATATGTAAAATGTTTATTTTGATTAAAGTGCACCATTAAGTTTATAGTTAGTCATATCCCATATATTAAAATTATATTACAAGAAACTCTACTGCTAGCAGAATATAAACACAAAATCAAGAGTTTAAAAAAGTAAGATGCCTATGTAGCTCACACATGAACTAGTTAGTGTGCAAACTATATCAGGACAAGATTAGTGTAAAAAATATTCCTACACTTGTTAAGAAGTTTTGTTTTGTTTTTTTTTGTTCCTGCTGAATTGTATCTTAAAACGGGCAACTTACATCAGTTTCCAGATGTTTAGCTAAAGACGGTCGGTCACAGCAGAAACTTTAGTCATTTATTACATATTGGTCAAAGGTTATAGTGATCTGATTCCTTGTTACTGAACTTTCATTATTTTAAATTGAGTTCAGTATGGTAGAAGATGAATAAAATTGCAGTTTATGGTATAGTTGGAGCTGGAATACGTTTAATAAAATGAAAGGATTTGAAATGTTTCTCTGTTTGCCAATGTTTTGGAAACCTATCATATGTCCTTGTACATATGGGCATTATAGGCAGCATGTACACAGAATGCATGAAGGTGAAAGACCTTTAGTGTGCAAGTCCCTCCTCAGCCCCCCTTAGACTAGGTTCACACCTATGCAGTTTGTGTTTGATCCATTTCTGCAGTGTGTTTTTGCACATGCGGTTTTGATGTGTTTTGCTTTTTTTTTTTTTTTTTTTTTCCTTGTTGCCAGGCAGTTTTAAATGGCAAAATGGTGCAAAAACACACCATAAGCTTTTCTGCAGCGTTTCCATTGAAGTCTATAGAACCAAAAACATAACTTTTTGCGTTAAAAAAAAAAAAAAAAGTTCCTGACCCTTTCCATAAAACGCACCGGATGAAAACATGGAGATGTGAATGAGTCCCATAGGAAAACTGTAGTGCGTTCTGCAGAAAACTCTTAGGTGTGAACCTAGGGTAATATTTACCTGAGCCCGATCCAGCAATGTGCGCAAGAACGGTGGGTCTCTCTCATTCGCCCCTGCTGCTGTCAATCACAGCCAGTGAAGAGAATGGGGCCAATACGCACTCTGTGTTTCTTATGGAAATACAGAGGTGGCCCAGAAGTGAGCATGAGCGAGTGAAAACTGCTTGCTCTGGGGTCACTCAGCAGGGGGGAGGGGCCAGGAGCGCTAGCGGAGGATTGGGGCTGCTCTATGCAAAACCATTGCACAGAGCAGGAAAGTTAAAAAAAAAAAAGCAGAACCTTTAGCATCAATCTAAAGCCTTTCACAAAGCTAATTGAAGCTTCCTGAAAAAAACTTTAAAAGGCTTGCTTTACACATTTTTCACAAACTGGTCAATCATATACTGATACCAATATGTACAAAGTCTAAGTTTAAACCAGCCATAGATGGATCTAATCTTGGCCAGTGCAGCAGGGACCAGCCGGGATCTGATCCATCTATGGGAAGGCTAGGCTGGTTGTACTGAAGTTGATCCTTCGCTATAGCTGCTAGCAGTGATCACTATGTTCTGCTGGTAGGGATAATATGTTCTGCTGGTAAGATATCCAATCAATACAATGGCCAGGCAAACAGGATTTTAGTGGTGAGCATCAGCAGTCCAATTCTCTCCTCGTAAGAAGTTTCCTTAATGATACAATTTGTAAATTGGATATTTTCCAATAAAGCATTTAAAGCCTGTATTGAAATGGGAGCCAGTGTGCACAAAAACAAAAAAAATACCAAAACACATTTCTTGTCCTGATGGTGGCCATCTTCATCGTTGTTTATTCTGATTTCTTGGTAGGCTCAGGAATGCTCTGAGTCAGAGGGGTTAAATTCAGCAGTAAGATATGTCTGTCATAGGCCTTAGTTTGCTTGAAAACCAGGTCTGTGCCATGTAGCCGGTCAAGTACTCCCAATACGCCATAACACTGGTTAAACCTAGATCATAAACATATTACATCAATATTACTAATCAGGCTGACCATAGAATTTTGGACTGCAGTGTATGGTTATTGCAATACTTAATTTTCATATCAGTAATTATTATACAGGATTTATATAGCACCAACAGTTTGTACTGTCTCCCCTTATATTGTAAAACACTGCACAGTTACAATACAGTAAAATACAAGAGGGTTAAGAGGACCCTACAGTCTAATAGGGTGGAACAAAAAGCTATAACTGGGGGTTGAGCTGATGGAAGTGATATACATTTAGTTGGAGGCGTGATAGGCTTCCTTCAAGAGATGAAGCTGCCACAGTAGGGGATAGCTGTACAGATTGAGATAGAAAGTTCCAGAGGGTGGGAGACGCTCTGGTGAATGTGGACTTCACTGTTGTCTTATATCAATGATAATATATGAAGTCCTGGAGAAAAGAATGGGAGGGGGAGGTCATGAGAGGAGTGGAGAGGACAGTTTGGGTGATATTTGGAGACAAGATTGTTGATGTAGCTCAGGCCAGTGTTGTGAATGGCTTTGTATGTTAGTATTTTGAATTTAGTTTGCTGGGAAAGTGGAAGCCAGTGGAGGGATTGGCAGAGAAGGGTGGCAGACACAAAGATGTTGGTAAGGTATATGATTATAGCAGCAGCATTCATGATAGACTGAAGAGGAGATGAGAAGGGAGTTGTAATGGTCAAGGCGAGAGATAACAAGGGAGTGAATGAGTAGCTTGGTGGGTTCATTAGTTAAATAGGGGCAAATTTTAGATCTGTTATGGAGGTGAACTACAAGTTTTTGACTGATTGGATTTGGGGCTTGAAAGGACAGGTCAAAGTCTAGGATTACACCTAGTACCCTGACTTGAGGGGAGGGACTGATAGTTGCTTTATTATTCTTGATAGAAAAAAATCAAGGCGGACACAAGTGGGAGGGGGGAGTAGAGGAGTATAGAGATTTGGGTGTCATTGGCATAGAGGTGGTATTTGAAGCCATGGGAGGTTATCAAGTGACCAAGGTAGAAGGTGTAGATATAGAAGGGGTCCAAGAACAGAGCCTTGGGGGACCCCTACAGGAAGGGGAAGTGGAGAGGAGACAGTTATTGGCAACACTGAAGGAGCGTTGTGATAGGTAGGAGTGGAACCAGGATAGAGCAGAATCTTGGAGGCCAAGGCAGTGGTGTTTACTGAGAAGGAACAGGTGGTCAACAGTATGAAAAGCCACAAAGAGGTCTAGTAGTAAGCGTATGAAGTAGTGGCCATTGGTTTTAGCAGTTAGTAAATTGTTAGTGAGTTTTAGTTGGGTAGTTTCTGTGGAGTGTTGAGAGAAAAAGGTTGTTTTCAATGAGGTAGATGCTAAGATGGTTGTAGACTAAGCATTCTAAATGTTTAGAGGTGAATGGGAGCAATACGACGGGGCTTAAGTTGTTCAGGTTGGTGGGGTCCAGTGAGGGCTTCTTAAAGTGTTACTAAACCTAGGACCCTGTATTCACTATATCTGGTCTCCCACACTACACAGAACATGGAAGTTTAATACCTTTTTATTTATATATTTTCGTTGTTCAAAAAGCCAGAGATTGCGCAGTACAAAGTATACAGAAGATAAAAACACTTGGCAGTAGATGAACCAAAATAAGAGGATACAAAAGTAAACTATCGAGGTTATGGTAAAAACAGGTACAAATAACAGCATAATAAGGCAGTTTATGCAGCTACAATATCTTGACCCGGAGTGCCTGAGGACAAGGTCTAGTGTATACAAGCACCTGTAAAAAAGAACCAGGTTACCAAAGTTTGCTCATGTACCACCAAAAAAGAGGAGGGGAAAGGGACCCGAACAGAGATTCAGGCACCATACTGATAAGTGACTTTCTGGTATATAGCACCTGATGATATGGGAAACCAATGGAGAAACCTTTTAATTGATGGGGGGAGCGAAGTAGGATAAGAGACGGGATATAGGAAAGGGGCAGAAGTAAGTGGGATGGGGAAAAAAGGGGGAAGAGGGTGAGGAAAAGGAGGCAGGGACACAGAGAGATCTCAAAGATTCTCAAGAAAATCAAGGAAAACATAATATAAAGTCGAGAAGAAACCAATTGAGTAGAGAATAGCGGAATAAGGTAGGGCATCTCTCCCATCCGGGGACCAAACCAATCAGGTGAGGTGGGGCTCCTCAGACCAGCCCAGGAGATTGCTGAAGTTAGAAGTCAGTATAGACAAAATATTGCCACAGTCTCCAGGTGTCTCGGAAAATTTCCCCACGGTAATATAAAGAGTCTGTGAGGTCCTCCGTGTCTCTTAGCTCATTGACTTTGGAGAACCAGAGGGCCCTCATAGGTGAGTGTACAGACCTCCAGCACAGAGGAATGCAAGCTTTTGCCGCGTTTAGCAGTTAAATCGTCAGTGATGAAACCTTATACTTTGTAATGGGGCAATCTGTAAGGTGTAATAGGCCGCTGGATCACATGCCACGTCACCACTCGTCAAGTCCTTAATGGTGCTGGTCACAATCTGCCAGAATTATTTAATCTTAGGGCAGGCCCAGAAGATGTGGGAAATTGTACCCCAGTCAGCAGCGCATCTCCAACATAGGTCCGGAATTTGGGGAAAGATGCGATGTAAGGTCGTAGGGACCCTATACCACATGGTCAAGATTTTATAAGTAGTTACCTTAGAGGCAATGAATGATTTCTGTGCAAAGTGGAGAATCTTCTCCTGTACATCTGGGAAATGAATGCCCAGATCAGCTTCCCAGTGGGATAGGAAGATAGGGGTAGTCATTCTGCGGACTAACTAAAGCGGAATAAATAATGGAGAGACAATGATGGATAGGCACCCGCTTATTACAGACATTTGCCGGAGAACGGGAACATTGCCAAAGAAAATGTTGAAGTTGTAGATTGTTCCATAAGTCTAGTGGAGGGTCCATGGCCGTTGACAGGGCAGAGGGGGTGAGATTGCCATCGGGATCCAGAAAGTCACAAAGATGGAGGCGCCCAGTGGCAGCCAAGCGTTTTGAATTGGGGGTTGTCCAATCCCGGTTGAAATTCTGGCTTCCCCAGAACATGAACCATAGGGGAAGGCAACGGAGAAAGGGAAGAATTATGAAAAAATCTCCCGAGACTCCAACAACGTGCTACTGAGCATAGGATGGTCCGCCAAGGCCTGAGGCACACGCGACGAGATCATGGCAATGCCAGTTCTTTAACCTCGTCAAGTGGGCTGCTCTGTAGTAAGCCCGGATGTCTGGAAAACCCAACCCACCGTGACCCCTGGGAAGATGTAAGAGCCGAAGCTGGAGATGAGGTTTCTGATGTGACCAAATGAAATCTCGGAAGAGAGCATGAACCTTTTTGAAAAAGGAGGGTGGAAAGCTAATGGGGAGAGCCAGAAGGGCCCAGCATGGTATAATAAATGAAGGGGAGAGAAGGGTCTCCCCCGTAGGTGTAAAGATATCACCAAGTACAAAACTTCCTCCATACACCAGAAAGAGAAGGGGGCACGGCCAGGAGAAGTGGGTATGACTATTCCAACTATGCCAGACAGGGGCCATCATCTCGGTTCCAAAACCTGAGCGTTAAAGTTGGATTGGGGAAGATGAAAAATATTTTCATAATAAAAAAATAAACATCCTACCCCTTACCCCCCGAAAATCAAGTCCGAGATGTATGATAGAAGTAGAGTCAGTTAGTCCTCTGAGGAAACGAGTAGGCCTAGGAGGCCTCCACCTGGTGATCTCGCAACCAGAAGCTCTGGAACAGGGTCTTCGAATCCTCTGTGGGTGAGGTATGGAGACAGTTGGTGTGTCAGGGTGCAAAAAAAAAAAGGGTCCAGCCAGTTCGGAACCTCCACTGCAGACTTGTCCAGGAAATCGAACAGCGTTGACAGTTGATCTGGGGAGCACAGGGAAAACTCAACACACCTGCTTGCGGATGATGAGATGGAAATGGTGGCCCCAGCGATATGTCGCGTCGGCCTCCCGGATCACTTCCAGCAGGGGCTGGAGCATTCCCCGCATAACTTGGGGCTGCCTGGAGATGTCGGGGTATATGTGGCACCATCAAAGTCTATAGGACCCCGCGGTCCAGGCTTGACATAAAAATTCTTCCTTTACTGTATAGAAGTGGACCCTACAGAGAACATTTCTTGGGCGGGGGTAGAGCGGTGGATGTTGCCTGGGTTGGAGAGGGCAAACGGGCCCAGGACCCGATGCATCCGGTCAAGTTCCAAGTCCGCTGTGGGGGGCTTCCCCAGTAACTGGTTAAAAATAGCAGTTATGGTAGCGTGCAGGTTCGCCTCACTAATGGCATCTGGAATCCCCCTAAGTCGGAGATTGTTCCGCCGATTGCGATTCTCCCCATCATCCAGGCGAAGATGCACATCTATGAGATTGCGGTGGAAGGCCTGCTGGTTGGCTTCTATGGCGGACAATCTAGCGTCAGTAGCAGTTGAGGAGCTTTCTAGGTCTGTCACTCTTTCCTCCACAGTGTCCACTTTTTGGCATAGGTCTTGAAGTTCACGGGAGAGGGCATTAACAATTGAGGTGGCCATAGCATGCAGATCCGGTTAAGTAGGAAAGTCCGCCATAAGGTCTCTGATAGTCCCCGCCACAGGGCTGTTCCGGTTCCCCATCCCGGTCAGAGAGTAGTGAAGAGTGCCCAGGGGGGAGAGCAGGTGACAGGATCAGAGATACCGCTCAGGGGTTTGCAGAGACCCCCGCATCAGAGGAAGCGCTCTCTGATTGTGAGGGTTTTTTTTTTAGCAGAGGCCGAGCTGGCGGTGATGGGACATGGCGGCACCATCTTGGAGGAGGCTTCGGGAGAGGAAATTGGGTGCTAGCAGAGAAAGTAATGGGTAATTTCACCTCCCCTGGCGTCCCTAGTAGTCTGCTGAGGCTTTCGGTCCCCCGTCATGAGAGAACAGCCGTGGTGAGGGTCTAATAGCAGGTTGTCTGTCCCAGTCCATGCAGAGCTCCGAGAAGAGCGTCCTCATGCCGCCA